TGGAAAGGGCTGAAACGCTGAACTCTCTGATGCCTAACACTGGTGCCTGTGGTGTGAGGCATCCCCAGGACACTGCTTTGAGCCAGGGCATATGTGGTTTGAAGGGTTGAAGAGAAACTGAGCCATGGCAGCATGACTGTGCATTGCATGCAAATGTCCTCAGCCATGACTTCTGCGGTGGCCTGTCACCAGTTGTCCTGAATGACGTGAGTGGAGGCGTTATCTGGCTATTTCAGTATACTTGACACAGATCCATTATATGCTGTTTATAAGAGATTAATAAGTGATTAATTTGTTGGTGGAAGGTCAAGCGGGTGAGGCGGTTGCTCTGCTGTAGCCTTTTGAGGGTGTCCTCTTCTATTTCATGTGATGGAGTGAGCTGCACATCTCAGTGCCCCTGCCAGTCATGTCTGGGTCCTTTATAAACGGGTGATAAATGCAATATGAAATAAAGCCCAGCAACTCTACTTGGCAGCAGGATGAACTTGTTGACGGTTCTAGGACATATTCTGGTTTATGTTGCTTAGCCAACTTTGGTAGCTGATTGCTGGATGGCAGCGAGGGAGCGTTACCCCGAGTACGCTGAGGGATCTCTCTCCTTGATGGGCAGCAGGGCACCGATATTGCATCTGGCACCGTGACAAGGCTGCGATGGATTTTGTGGGAAGGGGAAGGTCCCTTGCACAGGTTTCTGGCATCTCCCTTTCCCCTAACCTCAACAGAGAGGCCAATGGAATGGTTGCTGGGGTATGCAGGGTGCCCTTCCAACTTCTTTTCTAGTTCATGCAGCCCCATCTCTTGCAGGTGATGTTTTCAGCAGTGGTAGACACTGTTGCTTTCGCAGGTGATGGGAGCTTGACTCCTGATGGCAATAGGATTTGCACTGGGTGGGTCGCGGGCTATGTGTCCTCTGTGAAACAGCAGCCTTCGTGTCAGGGGTTGTGCATGGCTTCTCCTAAAAACCCTGTTCCTAAAACCTCCTGCCTCGTGAACCCTTGTTCTGAGAGGGCAGCCTACCCGACGCAGGCAGCGACCAAAGTCAACACCGTCCTGGCCTGATACCCCAGCGAGCTCAGGAGACAGGAATGTCCAGTGCGCTGGTAGTGGGTTCCTGGGTTTTTCTGGCACAAGACTGCAAAGTCCAATGCCTCTGGGAGGCATTTCGTTTTCTTTTCTGGAATTAGCTTTAGCGCTGAAGATTGGGTTTGGGCCAGCAAAGCTTCCTTAGAGCCGTCGGCCATGCAAAAGACTCCTCGAGTCTGCAGCGTTTCCCTTAAACGCAGCTTGTCTGATGCCAGAAATTTCCCTCTCCTGAATATTATAATCTCCTCAAGTGCCGGTGAGGAATTACCCAAAGGAAACGTGACCTTTCCAGCAACGCTGGCTTGTCTGGAGCAGGCGTTCGTGGCCATGTGGAGCGGTGTAGCCTGTATCGTTCTGCGGGAGGAGGAGGTGTTTTGTAGGACAAATGGAAATAGAACCCCTCCCTTGGCTGGGGGTCCAGAGGGAGGTGAAGTCAAGAGCTGGATCTGAAATGGGCAGCTGGCCCCGGTCAGAGCAGAAGTCTGAGCATCCCAGATACTTGGAAAGCTGTGACTCCATGGCCAAAGCTGAACCGAGGTGCTTTCAGCCCTTTGCCAGACCTGCAGGATCTCCTCAGGAAGAGATAAACCCATTCCACAAAGAGCGTTTTGCCCCAATCCAAAACCTCCAAAAGCTGTTGGCAGAGATGTAGGGACCCCATAAAAGAAACGACCCGATGCCATGATGAGGTCTTGCCAGAGCAAGCCTTGCTTGCAGCTCCTGGCTGCCTGGGCAGCGAAGGGGTCTGTCCATCCTCCCTTCCTTCTCCAGTCTCCCTAATGTTTGTGTAAGGGGGTGAATTTCCTTTCATCTTGCAGGAAAACCCCTCTATCCAGGCAGGAGACTGGGAGTGGGAATATAGCACACTGTAGCTCATCTTGCAAGTCTTCAAGCTTCAAGTCTTCTTGCTTTCCATTTCCCTGTCCTGTGTTGGGTGAAATGAAGTGGGGAGCTCTCGATCCCACTGGCCCCTGTGAGCCTGCTTCTTCCCAAAACTTCCTCAGTTTGGGACTGACCTGGGAAAGTGCTGGCTGAAGGTGAAGGCAGAGGTATGCAATATCAGCCTGATCCTGAAGTGCCGGGTAATTATTTCTAGAAGTGGGAAAGATGGTTGTGCACTACTGTTGTGGGCTGAGCACATTGAGTTGCTGACTGGGGTTGCGAGCAATTAGAGCAAACGAGAAATCACGGCCTCTTCTTAGAAGACGGAACCACTTGGAAATTAAATCTTTCCACCTTTTTGCTTTGAAAGGCAATTTACCAGCTGACCCCTTCCTCACACTGAGGAAGGCTTGGGCTTGTCCAAATTGAAATGGCACATTTGGTTGGCGGGCCAACAAACCCTGTAGCTGACCCAAACGCAAGGACTTTGGCAAGGTTTAGTTTCTCATTTGTTTGGGGTTGTTTGGGGTTTTTTTGTTTGTTTTTCACTGAAGACAAATATTTGTGCTGCTAGGTCAGTCGAAAAGGAATCATCCTTTTCCCTCTGCTTGTCCATGTGACTGCAAAAAAGCATCGCTTATTAAACCTTGCTCTGCCGCCAGCCTGTTTGAACATGAGAAAGAGCTCTGAATCTACTAATAAACTGGTTTTCGGTGTTTGCTGGAGGGTGGTGATATTTCTGAACCCAGAGTGAGGAGGGTTTCAGTGGGGCCTTCATCTGCAGCATGTATTTCTGAAAGGAGCAGGTATGGAGCTCCCGGCTTTGCAGCCCCGCCGCAACGCTCGGCATGTCTGAGTCGCATCCCAGCGCAGCGGCGGGCAGCTCGGAGGCTGGTTTGCTCCACGGCGATGGGAGCTGGGAAAAATATTTCCCTGCTTTTGCAGAAAAATCCTTCTCCCCAAAACGGTCGCCCCCGGCACTGTCCTCAGCCGGTTTGGAGGATGCAGGGACAGAATAGCGAGCTGGTGAGGTCATGGGGAGAGAGTTAGTCACATCCAACTGGGAAAGGGAGAGGGCTGCCAACCAACGTTGCTCTTGCACCGTGGAAAATTTGTGTGGTTTGGAGGGGGACCCCTCTCTGGACTCCCCCGGGTACCTCGGCCAAACTGGGAGCTTGGTGCAGAGCTGCCTCTGCAGTGGCTTCCTGAGGAGCTGGAGGAGCTGAGGAAGGTATTAAATCAGAATCTCATTTGTTCTGGAGTAGGCATGAACCTTGCTTCTCGTAAGTGGGGCGATCTGGGTGAGCAGGGGTTAAGAGCCTTTCTGAATCGGAGACTATCTGGAGCTGTCGCACAAGGGAGGGAGATCATGGCAGAGTTTAATGAATGACTTCATTTATATATTAAAAAAAAACCCAACACAACAACAGGGTGGCTTCCTGCCAGGCCCACAGACAAGGGTTTCTATGGGAACCTGGGGGAAAACGATAAATAGGAGTGTGGGACGAGTAGGGAAGGGAGGAGGGGAGCCTGGGCTCTGGTTCGGGTCTGCTCTGTTCCCCATGGAGAGCAAGGTGGCAAGGGACGATGAGGGGGAGAAGGGGAAAGGGTGGCTGAATTTGCTGCTTGCAAAAAGACCCCACCCAAAATAAGGTAGGCAGTAATGATTACATGGTGGTGGAGTGGTCTCGTGGCCGAGCCTGGGATCTGCTTCGTTCCCTGCTGTCCCATGGGCTCAGCGTGGATGGGTGACCTGTCTCCATCTGGCTCCACATCTCAGCTCTGCTGCCTCGAGGAGATGGGAGTTTGGGAGGGCAGGGATGCGAGGTCAATCTCACCTTCCTGCCAGGGTGGCTGTGGGACCACACCGCAAAGGGATGATGTTGGGGCTGAGCCCAGTGGTCCCACTGTGGCCACAGAGTAAAATAGGCTCTGAGAAAGTCTCCCCTGGAAAGGCTGACAAGGTTCAGAGTGTAATTAGAAAAGCCACATTTTTCTTGAACAAAATGTCTCGATTAATCTCATTTGTTTTTCCCTTTCTTTGCTGGAAAAGGCGGGGGGATCTGTCCTGAACCTCAAATGAAAGCAGCATTAGTGAGGCCCTTGGTGAGCTGAGGTCTGTTTTGGACCTGGCGGAACCAGGGGTGAGTGGGGTGAGGGAGCATCTGCCCCGGCATCTGCTCTGGCATCAGTACCACAAGTCAGACCTGCCCTGCTCCAGCGGCCATCGCAGGCCCTTTGGGTGACCCTGCCACCGCGGCACATCCCTTGCTGCCTGCGTCCTGGCTGGTGCCGCCAGCGGTGGAGTGGGAGCCAATCCCCCTTGGATACCAGTGTTATCGCCAGAGCAGGGATGTGGCAGGGGGCGCTTCCTTGGGGATGTGAGGCCGTTCTGCTGACAGAGGTGTTAATATCCAGCTGCTGAGATGTCTGGGAGAAGCCAGGGCAGTTTTTTGTTCTCTGCAGGGGAGGAAGGAAGCTCGGCAGGGCAGAGCTGGACACAGCCGCTGCCTTCTGCTGCTGGTCTCTCTGCTCCTGCTCAGGCAGGAGCAGCTCAACTGCTTAAAGAAACTCACCCCCAGGGTGCAGATCTTGCCCTCCCTGGGCCAAAGCTTGAGATGGAGGCATGGAATTTCTTGCAGCACTGCAGGACTCTTTACAAACCCCTCCAGGGGTGCAAAGCTGCTTCGCATGGAGTGGTGCTTCCCAGTGGGCTTCCAGCCTGCAGGGAGGTGGCTGGTCTGGAAGGGGGGGGATACACACCACATCTTCGTCAGAGAAGGAAAGGTTGTCCCGCACCTCTCTCCCAGTCCGTGTGTCCCACCTTACCCTTGCACATTGGTCAGTCCCGCTGTGGAGCCGTGCCAATGGAAGTGGGGATGCCACTTTGAGGATCACCACTCATGGTGGGAGCACTTCTCTGCAGGAGCTCCCTGCTTGCTAGTGGAGAGCCCAGCCACCTGGGGGGAGGGTATTACTGGGTTTGCAGTGCTGCTGGATGGTGTTGAGGATGGGTTTTCCCTCTGGCTTGGCAGGCTGACAGCACAGTGGAGCGTGGAAGACGAGGAGGAGGCGGCGAGAGAGCGGCGGCGGCGGGAACGGGAGAAGCAGCTGAGGTCCCAGGCAGAAGAAGGCTTGAATGGCACTGGCTCCTGCTCAGAGAGCACAGGTCCAGCACAGGAAAACCAGTAAGAAATACTCATGAATATATCCTTCAGTGACTGTCTCTCTCCTTGCAGCAAAACCCTCCTGCATTCATGGAGCCGGTGTCTCTGTTGTTTGAGGTGGTTTGGGGAGATGGGATTTAGTTCCCTAATAGGTTTGGGTTGTGGGATTTAGCCCAGACCAACAAATAGTGTGTTTCTAGTTTGGGCAGAAAAAGCCAGAATCCCTGCTTTGCTTTTTATTTTTTTTTTTTATTTTTTTTTTTGGCTGGAGGTTCGGTGTTTTACTGCCTTGAGAGTTTAAACTAGGACAGCTTGGGTAAGGCTGAGCTCAGGCAGGGAGTCCCCGTCACCAGGGATTTCAGTGGCTGGTTAAATTTCAGCTGGTGAATCATTCTACGCCAAAAGTAATGGAAGTTGCCGATACGGACACAGACAGACGTGTGCCTGAGGATGTGATGCACAACCCCGGGCAGACCACAGCGCTGGTGGCTGAGCGAGTGAGCGGTCATCACCTCTCTGGGCCAGGATCTCCGCTCCTCCCTTGGAGGATGCTGCCCCAGCTGTGGGGAGCACGGAGCAGCTCCTGAGCTGGTGCAGTTCACAGCTCCAAGGGCTAAAGTTAACTTCATGCTTTAATGGACAGGTACTAAATAAAAATGGCTCAGGAGGCATTTGTGGAGATGCTGAGCTATCTGCTGTCAGAGAGGAAACCCTTGGAGAAAGGATCGGATGACCAGTCACATCCCCAGCATGCCACCTCAGCATCCCACCTCAGCCTCCCCGTTTCCAGGATTCAGCAGCCCAGGTGCTGTGCCACACTAGGGCTGGCACAAAAACCAGTCTGCACTCTGAGTTGCCAAACTCTGTCTTAAAGACCCCAATCTTCCCACTGTTTATGTGTTCAACTTATTTCTAGGTGTATTAAACACAATCGAAAAATGGTGGCAGGATTTGGGATTACAGTCAGAGAGAAGCAGCAGCTTCATTTTACTGGAAAAATTGCAAAAACTATTTATAAACATCTATTTTTTTCAATGAAAAGATCAGTTTTTTTTCTAAGATACTTTCAAAACTATTCAGGTCTCTTTTTTTTCCTATGTCTAAAAGCATTACGAAGAACCTTTAAAATCTTTTGTGGAAATACACCCAGTGATATTCTGCAGACGAACTCACTGCAGTCTGCCCTAAAAGCAAACAGAAGATCTGGAAAGTAATAATAATTGTTAGCTTTTCCAAACCCCCCTTCACTCAGAGGCCGGAAGATAATTCTCAAAAGTCTTTAAAACGGCCAACAAGATCTCAGGTCTCTGGTTTACCAGGAGATGCTGTGAGCGGCCTCGGGCACAGAGCAGCGTGCAGCAGCCCCGGTAACACAGTTTGCAGGCTCCAGTCCCATGGGCATAGGCACAGACATGCTCCTGACCCCACGGACCGTTGGCAGTGCCCAAATTTAATTGAGCGCTTAGACGTCTGTGAAGGGAGGAATGACAAGAATGACAACTCCTAAAATGAGGGGTTTTGCTCCTTGCCCTGCAATGCTTGAGTTTGCTGGGCCAGGCTTCGCTGGGAAGGATGTTTCTTCTCCAGCCATCCCCTGGTTTCTTCTGCAGCTGCTGACAGCCACCTGGGCTTGCTCATGCAGCTGGGGTCAGCGCTGGCTATTAATCTTCTGAAAAGCTTCGCTCTCTCTTGTGTAAACACTGCCCCCTCCTTCCCTCCACTCTTCCCGTGCTGGGACTCGTCCCATCCATGTCACTCCTGTTTGTGCAAACCCGCCCTCGGCATTTCCTTGCACCAAAGGGACAGAGCCAAGCTCCTTTCCTCTCTTCCTCTACTAAAAAAAAAAAGAGAAATAACCCCCAAAACGGGTTTGCAGAAAAGGGATGTGTAGCCTTGGGAACCAGAGGGATGGAATCAGCTTAGGCAGTGCTGATGGGGCTGCTGTGGTGGCTCGGTGCTTGCCCGGGGGCCAGGTTTGCTGAGGAGCAGAGGGAAGCGACCAGTTTTCAACCAGCATTCAGCCAGTCTCCCTTGCTCCCTGGGAACTTTTCTGATAGCCTGAGCACACAATTGTGGCCAAGGCCACAAATACCGGAGTAATTCTGCCTTGGGCATCATCTACGCTGCAGCTCACCTGAAGCCCTGACCTGGGACTCAGCAGATCCATGGTCCCGTCCTGGCTCTGCATCACATTTCCTGAGCGTTGTCCTGGGGCATCCACAAGCTACTGCTACACAGGCCACGGAAAATAACCCAGCCTGGGCTGCCCTGTCCAAGACCAACGTGGTATTGCACTCAGCAGTTGAAGGGGATGCCGAAGTGAGGTGGGAGCTGGGCTGTGTTCAGACTTGTGGCTGAGCAGCCCTTTTGGGTGTGCACCCCCTGCTACCCTCCCCGGTGAGCCTGGCAAGGGCATGTGTTTTTTGTAAACCCTCAGCTCCTGCAGTCGGTTCAACATGAGACTCCTGAATCTCAGAGAAATGCCCCATGTTTCAAGCCACCGGGGTCACGGAGTAGGCTAAGCATTTCCTGGCACCTCCCAAGAGCCCACGAAGGCAAAGAAAAGACTCACCCACATTCACTACATATTTTGAATTTCTGAGTTTTAAACTAATCTGTAGGTCCCACATTCTCATTCCCAGATGATTGCATCCCAAAAACACCTGTGAAGCCACTTCCTCAGGCCAATGCTTGTGACACGGCTGCCCACCTAGGACCCCTGGCTGGGAGGTGATTTGCAAGGCAAGGAAAGAAGGCAAGGAAAGAAGTAGGAAAAAAACAGCAATCCCCATGCATGGCCAGCCCACATCTGGTGCTGGCAGCTGTGCACTCCAGCGGCACTGCAGCCCCGTACAGCAGTGGGGTGTTCACAGGCGGGGAGCCAGAGTCACGCAAGTGCATGTGACTGGCTCATAGCTGTATGGAAACGTGAGGATGCCACCCAGAACTTGAGCCAGTGTCCTAGTCTTTGGGTCTTCATGCCTTCCTCATGCAGAAATCTGTTCAGGCTGATTCTTGCTGGTTTCTTTTCCATGGGCCTGCGTGCAAACATATGACAAGCAGCATCTGAGTTTGAAACACCTTTGGTCCAAACAAGCTAGGGCCAGCTCTGGTGCAGAAGAATACCATGGACTTTTGGTTTTGATGTGCTGCTTGTCTTTTGCTCTCCTGCGTGTGGCCCCAGAGAGCAGGCAGGCAGCGGGGTGCTCCTGCCAGAGACACGGACTTGCTCTTCCTTCCTCTCCGTCTCGCGGTGATGCCCCCAGAGACCTCCTTTGTACAAGGGTGCTACTAAACACATGTCAAAGACGTCTTTCCTGTAACAGAAGATAAGGCTTCAAGTGGGATTTGGGAGCCATCAGAAGAAAGAAGATGCAATAACTGGAGGGAGAGAATGACGGTATCAGGCTGGGGATCTTTCAGGCTAGGTTTGGGGTTTTTTTGCATCTCTCTCATCCTTATTTTCCTTCTTTCTGTGTTTCAGCTATGACTTTAAACCATCCGGGACTTCGGAGCTGGAGGAGGATGAGGGCTTCAGTGACTGGTCCCAGAAGCTTGAGCAGCGCAAACAGAGGTGGGTAGGACACAGCTGGACTGAGGGGAATGGAACCAACCTTCCCAGCGTAAGGACTGTCCCCAAGGAGGAGCAGGACGGGTCCCATGCTGCTGGGACGGATACTTTTCCCCTGCCATTTGGACTAACGGGGAGGAACAGGCTCAGGGACTGCCCTGGCCTCCAGGGATGTTTGGATTGAGCTTTGCACTCCAGGCAATGGCAGCCTGCCAGGACGCCTAGGTTTGGAGGAGTGACAACAGCGGATTTAAGCCACCTGAGCTGCTGCAGGGGCTGAAACAGCCTCTAACATAATCCAGGCCAGACTAAAAAGCTGTCCTAAGTTATTGCTGCTTCCTGGCTCATGGCAGCACAGTGGGTGTTATGGCCCCAGCCCACCTTGTGCTTGACTCCGCTTTCGGCAAGGGAAAACAGGCAGCAAAGAGCCCTGAGAGGCGCTTGTGTGCCGGCTCTTTAGCCCCCATCTCCCATTGCTCTCCCCTTGCTGAGCTGAGCCAAACTCCTGCCTTAACCACTTCCCTCGGACACCATCTACCTGCATGTGAACTCTGTGACTCAGCTCTCTCGGCAGCTTGATTTTATAGGAAATTTTGGCCTGTGATGACACAGCCTCTACTTTACCCCCGAGACTGCAAAAATGCCTAAAACTAATATTTACTGTTGAACAAATAACTCAAGCTTGCCTCTTTCTTACTTTTTTTTCCAAACACTGTAGCTAAACCCTTCTGCAAGCTGTACCTTTGCAGCCCCGACCCCACAAGCATTGCTCAACCACCTCGCTGCGGCACTGATCGTCACATCTGCAAGAGCAATTAGAAATCAGCCCCATCTGCTTTTCAGCACACTGCCTCTTTTTCCACCCCTGTTGCAAAAAGCTTGTCTGGAGAGAAAGGCAGCAGTGGTGGCTGCTGCTACTGCTACTCTTCCCTTCTTGGCCTTCAAAAGAGAATTAGCTAGAAGAGTTGCTTGGGTTAGCTAGAAATTGCTCCTTGGGTTTTTATGTGATGCTTGTGTTTATTCTGTAGTGGGGCTGGAGGGTGCTGAGCAGGGGAGGTGGCACCCGTGGCAGGTGATGCCTATCAGAGAGGGGTGGTGCTTTAAAGGCTGCAGCTGTAGGGGAGCAGGCTTTTGGCTGGGGGAGGTGGCTGGAGGGGCTCAGACCCTGTGGGCTTGCTGGAACACAGCTTTTTTTAAAAGCTAGGCTGGCTTCCTAGAGGGTGGCTGTGCCCTGTGAAGCTCTTTCAGCAGCTTTTCCTTTCTCCTTGCTTACCTGCCTCGCCCAAAGGACAGGCTGGGAGTGCAGTGCGAGCCCAGGTAGGCTGTGTGTCTGGGATGCCCAGCACTGGGGCAAGCAGTGCTGTGGCCAGGGTTCCCCAACTTCCCTCTCTCCTGCTTAACCGAGTGTGGAGCAAACTCTGATTTTTCACATGAAGGATGTTCAAGCAGTGGCTGCAACTGAGGGAATGGAAACAGTTGCTCTCCCTTGGATGGAGCTAAACCAGCTTGTGTGTCCCCTGAGGGCCTGGGTGCTAAGGCATGTTTTCATTCTGGTTCTGGTTCCCTGCTTTGTGGGAAGAGATCCATGCCCTTACAGCTATCAGCTGCATGCAAGAGGGTGGGAGCTGGGTCAAACTAGCTGCCTCCCAGATTGCTGGGGTGCAAAAGGCATCCTATAGAGCATCATGCGTGCTGGCCTAAATTTTTAACACGAGCTTGCGCTTTAGCTGGAGGTATTGTTGGTATCCTGGTTAAGAGTAAACCAGTTACCCGGGATGTAAAACCTTCAGAGCCTGTTTGCTGTTGGTGACCACACTGCCATGGGAGGATGATTAGTAGCAAGCTGAGTGAGCCAGCGTATGCATCAGCTTTTTCCTGGTGCGGTCAGGTGGGAGGGCTGGATGGTGGCTGTCCTGTGAGCTGCCTTCCCAGCAGCAGAGAGGTGGGTGGAAAAGCATCGCTTGAGCTTTTTTTCATGTTTTGGTGCTGGCTGGTGAGGTGGAAGCGGTGAGTCAGCCTTGCACTTTGGCAGCTGCCTGCTCTCCGGCTCTCTAGCCTTGCTGTTGCAAGCCAGGGGATTTTCGAAGAAATGGGTGAGAGGAGAAAGCTGTTGTCTGAGCGGGGAAAGTAAGATGGCAATAACATCTGGGTGCATGGCTGTGAGCCAGTGAGAGCTCTGGGGTTCTGTGCTCCCACCAACTCTGTGCCCAAAGGCACGGACTGCTCTGCTTTTGCAAAGCTGATTGCTTAAACATACTCCTGGGTCTCCTCTCTGCAGTCTTGGAGACCTGGAGGAATCCTCTTGTACAAACCCCATTGGGTTTTTTTAAACTGAAGCCAAGGGGTGACCCTGGCTGCTCTGGGACTCGTTGTTTTGCTGGGCTGTGACTTGAGTAGAGGTGCCATTTATTCTGATGGGTCAAACTGAGGTGCAGGGTCAGGTGTGGATATAGCATTGCCTGCAAAGCGTTGTGCCTTGCAAACAAAAAAAACCCCATGCGAGTGGCTGTGCAGCTTTGCCCTGCAGTTTAGTTCCAGCTAGGGAAAAGGAGGATCTTGGGAAGCACATTCACATGTCATTGGTTGGATCCTCCTGCTGTGAGAGGCTCTGTTGACATGGAAGATGAGTTGAGGGAGAGGAAAGCTGTGGTTGGTGCTTCACATTGGATTGATGCTGGGAACTGTGGTGGCAGTGTCAGACCTGGGTCTGTGCACCAGGAACACAGAGCGTGCTGGCTGACCTGGGGTTTTGGCTGTAGCAGAGCAGAGAACTGAGCCAGCACCACATCATGGTGGTAGTGTCCTCTTTGCCTGGAGTCTAAGCAGAGGTCAGGACCTGATGTTCAAGTCTGTCTGATCTCTGTGTTCTTGTGGGTCTTGCCCATGGTGAGGCTGGAAAGGTGCAGATACTTTCAGCTCTGCCACAACACTTAGTTGAGCTGTTGTCCTTGGTATTCAAAGTGTGAGAGTGTAATGTGATTGCTGTTACATCTGGGTGTCTGGAAATGGGTGGGACTATGGAGGTGACTGTGAGCCCCAGTGTAAAACACACAGCAAATTGTAGGCTTGGGAGACTGAAAAAAATGGATTTCTAGAGGTCTAAGGCACCTGATGGTGTCTGTAGGCTCATAACAATGTGTTTTGCTTCTTTGACCTCTCTCCCCTACCTCTAGGTCTCCACGACAGTCGTTTGAAGAAGAGGACAGTGGTGTGAGGGAAGCAGAAGTCAAACTGGAGCAGATCCAGTTGGATCGGGAAAGCCCGGAGGAGATCCAGGAGGAGAATGTGGTTACTGGGGAGGAAGAGAGGCTGTGCCAAGAGGAAGAACGGGTCCTAGAGCAGGAGGATGAGGACAGAGCTGAGCAAGAGGTGAGATCAGGAGGATCTGATCTTCTCTCTGCAGGGCTGGTGGGAGAGCTGGGCTGGGGGCTGCTCTCCAAGAACCCAGCTCACCATTGCTGCTTATGCTGCTGAGTGTTGAGCCCAGGTAGACAAGCTGTCATGGCATAACCTGGGGTTGGTGCTGCTCTTGCCTGTGTTCCTTCTCGAGGTCGCTGCAGGCAGCCTCTGCCCTCTTGTGTGTTGGGCGGTGTGTTTGCTCCTGGAGCTTGTGGTGGTTTAGTCATGTCGCTGCAATACAGAGAAGGAAAGTGCTACTTTTTCTCCTGTAGTTTGTGGGCAGTGAGCAGCTCTTCAGGAGAACTCAAATCTAAATTTTACTGCTTGTTTTTCTCTCCCCAGCCTTTATCACACCTTTGGAGCACTTTGGCTTGATATATCTTTAAATCTTGCATTGCTCCCAGCTGAGGTTTTCTTTCTTTGCTCTCCTGATGAGGTGTAATTCCTGGTAAACAAGAGAGACAAAGCTGGAACTTGAGTGGTGTGCAAGCATGTTAGGGTGGCTGAGCTGCAGATATCTTCTGTTGTAAACGGATTTTGACTTTTTGCATTTGAACTCTGTGTGTGACTCTTTGTAGCCCTTTATTCTAAAGGCAGCTGCACTCTCTCCTTGTGGCCTCTAAATGAGAAATTCCTATCTCAATAGTGGTAAGAAATCTTTATTGATGCAGGGACCCCTTTCCATATCACTTTGGGACCTTAAACCTGCAAAGTTTCTCTGATTTCCACCCCCCTCCCCCAAATTAACACATGAGCTTCTGCCTGCGTGTTTCAAAATTAGATGATGTGAACTCAAAGTTTCTGTGATCACCTGTTTGTTTAGTGTAAAGCAGAAAGCCTGGGAGACAGGGGAAAAATCCCTTAGCAAGCACTTTGACCAGCTCACTTCCTGGCTTGTTCATTTTCTGCACTCAGGAAAAGAAGAGAAGGAGAAATGAAGAAGAAGAAACACCAGAAAAACGCCAGAAGGCCCCAAGACCCGCCAGCCTGGAAGAGGAGGAGCTGTGCTCTGACCACACTGCAGTGTGTTCCACCAAGGTCTGTGTTCCTGGGGCCTCTCTGGAGGCGATAGCAGCTATTGCAATAGAGCACCTAACTGATGATGAGGAAAGGTGACCCAGGGCTCGCGGTAAGGTGGGGTGTGAATCCTGTTATCCGGCTCCTGCTATAGGCTGGGACAAATCAATCTGTTTCCTTCATCTTCCTTGGTTGGCAGCCTTCTCCCCTCCTGCTTTGCCTGCTTGAGCTGTTGGAAGCTGTAACTGTCTCTGTGTGTACTTTGCCAATCACCGTAAATGTCTAAAGTTCATTGAGGACTCCAGGGAATATTGTAATACTGATAAAGGTGTCTGTGCTTTTAAACTTGTGAATTTGGTCAAAGATGACACATGAACTTAACCAGAAAATGAAATTTCCCTTCCTCCCCCCAAAAAAACCCGAAAACTTGACACATTGGGATTTCCCTATCTTTCTTAGAATAAAATCCAAAAGTGTGGCTTCAGTTTTTTTAAACAAACTGAAATTCCTGATCTCTGAAGCATCACGTCCTTCCCAATCACATCTGTCTGCATTGATGCTCTTGTGAAACTTCCATTTTTAACACCACCTGAATTGCATCTCATGACCTCTGTTGCCTTTGCTACAAATCCTCAGTTCTCTGCGTGTGCTTTTAAATACAATAGCTGCAGATAAGTGGTTTCTGTAGCAAATGGCTTCTTGTTTTTGCAAGCCTTAGGCTTGTTGATGATAGCAGTGAGGGAAATGGTGAGGAGACTGGATAGCCTGTTAATCTGTTGTTGGTATTATCTTTGCTTTTTTGCATTTATATCTGTGCTATTTGCTGCTTAGTCAATATTTCCTGGATGGGGAGGATTGTATGAGCACTTCCTCTTGCACCAGTAAATAGATCGTAAGAGGAAAGTTTCGTCATCTGCAACCATCGGATTCTTGCTCTTTATGGAGGATTTCATCACCTACAACTGTCAGATTGCTCTTCATGGAGAAGCCTTTTAAAAATCAAATAGAGAGTGGAGAAAGGGTGGGTTTGGATGAAGGCCAAGTGCTAATGTTAGATTTGAAAAGTGTGGTGGAGGTGGCCAAGGCATATCCCTGGAGTGGGACTGGTGGGGAAATGTGGGGAACACTTCCAGTGTCTTTTATGTGCTGAAATTCTCATTGTTACAACCCCGAAACACACATCACTTCCTGACCTGAGCTTAACTACTGCTGCTAGGATTAGCCCAAGGAAAGGTTTAGAAATACAGTCTTTGTGTTTTATAACGGTGATGTCAGAGCTCACCAATCCACAAAGCCCAATGTAAAGCTTTCAGGAAAAATGAGCTTGGGATCTTTCCAGGGGAAGGAGGCTCTTTACACCTAGCAGGCCTTTGTGTGAACACTAAGAATTAAACACATTGACCACCAAGAAGGTGTTTTGACATGGGATCGCATGGAAGATGAAAGCATCTGCAGTGGGTGGTGAGCTCCCCTGCCAGTTGTGGAGGCCACGTACACATCTGGGGCAGGTGGACATTGGGGTGCAATGTGATGGGATGGTTGGGGTTCAGAGGGCCAGCGTGGACTAGGGGGCTGCTGCAATGGATGTGTGGTGGCAGGGGGCAAGCCTTGTACCAGCCCTGTTTTTGTCCCAGGCTGCTTGAGCTCTGAGTTTTGAGGTTGGCTGAGGGAGCAACTGTGGTTTCTTCTGATCTTCAGAAAGCGCTCTGGACCAGAGAAATGCATGACTTGCTGCAAGGAATTGCCCTATAGGGCAGGGGGAGGTGGTCTCCAAATAGCTTAGGAAAAGTTTGTTCCCTCTTAGACTGTCATGCTCAGATCTACCCTCACCTTCAGCCTGTTTCTAGGCCCCTCTGTTTAACTTGATGATCATTTATGACCTTTTAGAAGCATCTGTGGGTGGTTTGCACCTGCACAGCATCACTCTGGCAAGGTTGGCAAGGTTTTTTCCTATTGATATCTTATCTACTTGTGGTTGAGAAGCTGAGACATGGGCAGAGATCTACTTGATTCCCCTTTCAGGTGCTGTTATACCCCATGAGGTGCCAGCCTACCCATCAATGTCCCAGGAGGGATGGGTGACCCAATCTCTGAAGTCACAGTTTAGGCCAGCACCAAGCAAGGGAGCAAGCTGGCAGCTGGTGGACAACCTGCTCAGCAGCCACTGGTATCTGTCATGCTGTTGCGTTGGGACCCTCCAGAGTGATTTTCCCTAGTGCAGCTCTATTAGCTAGGGTTTCACTGTTTCTTGGTGGTTGTTCTCTTCTCTAATGGGCCTGGTATTGGGCACAGCTGTTCAGTGTGTCCTCTCTGTGACACTGTCTTGTCTTCTCCTCAGCTAAAACGTAGCACCAGCATCCTGAAAGTGTCTTAAAACGAGCACTTAGCACTGCTTTTCATCTGCTAACTTGGTAGGTGAGGTTTCCTATGGCACAGGTAGCAGTAGACAGAGAGAAGGCTCCTTGTTACTTGATTGCTGCTCTTCAGCTCTTTAGGAGCTGCTGTAAAGAAATAGCTTCCTCTTTGAGTTGAAAGTGATTTTTTCTCTCTGTGTTCTTGTTCTCTGGGGTGCGAAAGAGCTGTGAGGTTTAGCAACATTTCAGCTTTCCTTTATTCAGTGGTTGTGAAGTGTTTGCTTGCCTTCCTGCCTTGGCCCAAGAGTTCTTGCACAGGAGCCTCTTGTGCAAAACTCTCTTTCCTGATGGCGTGACCTGAAGGGCTGCCTTGCAGGTGGCTCAACGTGCTGACTTGCCCTATCTATGTGCTCCTCTGGTGTGGATAAGCCACAACATAACTCATGCTTGTGTTCCTCTCATGCTTGGCTCTGCTTCTGCAGATGCAGTTGGCAGTGACTCTAGTTTTCCCCTTTGCCTTTCCACACTTGTCACTCTCTTGTGTCTGGCAAGGAAACCAAGCATCTAAGAAAGATACCTGGTCTTTGAGCAGGGAAAATCATCTTGGTTGCTGTTTCAGCTGTCAAGCTGCACATTGTTGGTTTGACCCTGGAACTGGTGAGGCTGCTACAGCACACTAGTGCTTTCGGTTTGGATTCTGTTCACCTGCCTTGGAAAGGAAAAAGGATGCTCCGTTGGGAAACATGGGAATGAGTGAGGCATTCTTAAACAAAATCTGGGTAAGGGTGCAGGGAAGAGAAATGTTTGAACTATGGTTAGTCAAGGTGACCCTGAGGTCTATGGAGAAAAGTAATATCTTTGTCTTCTCTCTCCCATTTTAGATCACGGACAGAAAAAAAAAACGCTCAATAAAGAAAAGGTATCTCTAGAGTCGATGGCCTTGGGCTAAAGCAGGTCCCTTCCTCCAAATGGAGGATGCCAGAGGGCCTTGCTGTGGGCATGGGCAGTAGTGACAGGCTGCTTATGGCTGTCGAAGTCCTTTCTTCTGCTGAGGTATCGAGGGATCACCTTAATCCTCTTCTTCTTTCTCCAGTAACAGCATAAAGAAGTCCCAGCCTCCTCTCCCTGTGTCGAAGATTGATGACAGGCTGGAGCAGTACACACAGGCTATTGAGGTGAGCTGCTCTGTTGTCACTGTGTCCCCACCCTCCAAGGAGCCCTTTTCATTGAGCCTTGAGCTCCCACCATGCTTCTTAGTCTCCCCATTGGGGAAGTGACAATTGAATCATCTGCCCTGGGATGGGAGCCGCCCTTTGACCTGTCTCCATCTCCCTTCACAGCATAAAGTAGGTTTCTTTGGCAAGCTGCCTCATCTGTGTTTCCTCACGGCCCTTGCTTAAAGGGTGAGAGCATCTGGCAGGACTAGCAAGACCCTACAAGTCTCCTTTCACAATCTCTCATCTCTGAGGACCTCCAATTACAGGGGAATAAAAAAACCCCAGACTCTCCCTGACAGTGATCTTTCTCCATTTATTTTCCAGACATCCACAAAGGCTCCAAAACCTATCCGACAGCCCTCTCTTGACCTTCCCACCACAAGCATGATGGTGGCCAGCACAAAAAGCCTCTGGGAGACTGGAGAGGTGGCAGCTCAGTCTGCCGTGAAGACCCAGCCCTGTAAGGTATGGCACTCACAGGACTTGCCTTGCTTGTGCAGGAGAAGAGAACCTGGCCTCTGGGCCTGACTTCCATTACGTTTGTGTTAGCCTGTTGATACGGCTCGTTGGTGGTGCCCACCAGCTCTCATCTCCTTTGTCGGCACACAAGGCCTTGTACCTCAGAGCTTCGCTTCATCTGTGCCGGGATCCCGAATCGTTCCTTGGTGGTACAGCTAGGAAAGCCTCTGTGATGCTGGTTGAGAACACCAAATTCAGCTGGTGTGGAAAATGGGTGTGTCTTCTGCAGAGGCTAGGACTGAGCTCTGGTTGTTGAGCACAAAGTTGGATCCTAGTACTAAGATGATAAATCTTGTAAAATTGGAAAATGCATAGAGTATTATGTAATGCTTTCAATTTTGCTTCCTGATTGCTGTGAGTGAGGCTGGTTCTGTAACTCGTGGGTTGCAAATCTGTGTTTATGTGAGCAAAATTCCTTTCATGTGAAAAAAAGCCTTGATGTTAACATGTTTTACATAGTTAACAAACTTAAGAAAATAAACATCTTGGATCTCTGATCCAAACTCTTGTTGAAGAGAGTGAGAGAGAGGAAAACATAGGGTATACTGGGAATAGGAAGACGTTTTCATCGTCGTGGGTTTTAGCTGCAGCTGTCGTAGGTCAGATGGTGTGATAATAAATAAAAAAGGAGGTCAGATGTGCGGGTTTGAAAGGGACGTGAACAAAGGCATGTTCAGCAGCCTTAGCAGTGGAGGGTAATGAGATCTCATCTTCTCAGGATATCGTGGCTGGAGACATCGTGAGTAAAAGAAGCCTTTGGGAACAGAAGGGCAATCCCAAACCTGAGACCAACATTAAGGTGAGTGAGTATCTGAGTATGAAAGCACTTGCTCTGCTGTGAAAAAGAAGAGAGCTCTTAGTTGGGTTGAGAGTATTGAGAAGATGGTAATGTTCTGTAGGGCCAAGGGCTGCCTTTATCTGTCAATGCAATTGCATACCCAAGACCTCTTCCTGACAGTGAGCTGCTATCTCTTCAGCCCTGGTAAAAACAGGGGCAAAAATAATTTTATAACCAGAAATGCTGAAGGGTTTCTCATATAGCATGTTTTCTCAGGCCATGGGTTGGGAGCCCCAGCCTTCTAGGCTAAAATTGAACTGCAAATGTGAGTTACTTTGTTCTTGTTATGCTTTTTAATCTTTAAAGAAAACAAACAAAATGAAGTGGAACTGAGCCTAAGACAGTATATCAACACTTGGGGTTTTGTGCCTACTGGTACATCTGTGGGAATGCCTGTTAAAGTGCAGCAAGCAGCTGCTGCTTGAACCATCCAGGCTGAGAGAAGATCATCAAAGTATCTTGTCTGTTCCTGGATCGGTGCTGCTGCCAGTACGTGGTAAATTAAACAGGCTCTTGCCATGGGTGAAATCAACCTTGGTGTGGGGGATCAATGCTCCAAGATGAGCCCTCCTTCGCCATGCCTGGCATTGCATCTTCTCTTTCCCATTACACATCCCGCACTTGCTATGTTACCTTACACTTATAGAAAGCGATGGTCAGTCTGCGTAGAGAGTTTGTGAAAGGTGCAAGAAGGGAATGCAGAGTAGGCTGTCTCCAAGCCCTCTGGGATTACAGACAACCATATCACGTGCTCCTCTGGCTTTAGTCATTTGATCTGGAGTACTGTGTTCAGCTCTGGGTCCCCCAACTTAAGAAGGGCATGGACCTGTTGGAACAAATCCAGAGGAAGGCCATGAAGATGATCCAAGGGCTGGAGCACCTCTGCTATGAAGACAGGCTGAGAGAGTTGGGATTGTTCAGCCTGGAGAAGAGAAGGCTCTGGGGAGCTCTTACAGTAGCCTTCCAGTACCTAAAGGGGACCTACACGAAAGCTGGAGAGGGACTTTTTACAAGGGTATGTAGTGACAGGACAAGGGGCAATGGCTTTAAACTGAAAGAGGGCAGATTTAGATTAAATATAAGGAAGAAATTTTTTTACAATGAGGGTGGTGAAGCACTGGAACAGGTTGCCCAGAGAAGTTGCAGTTGCTCTATCACTGGAAGTGTTCAAGACCAGATTCGATGAGGCTTTGAGCAACCTGATCTAGTGGAAGGTGTCCCTGCCTGTGGCAGAGGGGTTGGAACTAGATGATCTTTGAGGTCCCTTCCAACCCTAACCATTCTATGATTCTATCTTGACTGCCTGTTTGATGGAGGAAAATGCTGACTTTGGCCCTTTCTTTCTCTTTTGTTCAGTCCACTCCTGGTAAAAAGTATAAATTTGTTGCAACCGGCCATGGCCAGTACAAGAAGGTGTTGGTAGATGATGCTGCAGAGCAATAGCATGCCTGGAGAACTCATTAACCAGGTAGGTGGGATGTGACCTTGCACTGTGTAACGAACTCCTGGCGTGGTTCTGGCGGGACATTGGGGTGGGTTATTTCTGCCAGCTACACTTTGGGTGAGCTGGAAGATGCTGTATGGTGACAGCTGGAGCCTTGCTTCTGGGCAAATGCCTGACTTTCTGAGCTGGAAGGAAGTGGGTTTGTTTTGGTCTTTGGCTTTCTGATGCTGCGAGGAAGCTGGATACCTGTGTTAGTTTAATCTGTGGAATAAGTCCCTGAGCTACCGCTGTTTGGGTGAAAATGTGCTTGCCTTCGCTAGTTCAAAGGAAGAGCCTATCTGCTGTTTTTTTCTTATGCTCTCTTATGTTGCAAGAAGATGATAGCTGGAGGTCATTCTGGCTGAGCATGGGGTGCTCCTGAAATTCAGATGCTTCTGGAGTCTCATTCTGTGATTTACTGAATTAATCAGGGGAAAAACTTTTAATGATTTCAGTAACCTCTTGGAACCAGTCCATAATAGGCTTGTAGTAGGGAGGACATGAACTTCTGCTGCGCTGGGTAGCCTGACAGAGCAGAAAGGATTGTCCTCTGACGTGTAGCAAGGGAGAAGGCAGAGCAAGGTTGCTGCCTCTGTGCCCTCTTGAAACCGTCTTTGGATCTCATGCTCATATTGTGTTTATTTTAATAAATATCCTGGTGTCATCTTGAGTGGATGACAGTAGAGGGTTGTGGCAATAAGGAGGAGTGGCATAAAGGGAAATGATAACTGACTGGATCCAACCAGGCAGCATCTGGCACTGGGAGAGAAGAGGAAGTTTTCGGGGGTGAAAACAAGCTCATTCTCTTATTTCCTACTATAAAAAAGAAGCTTTATTTCATAGCCAAGCTTATAAATAGCTCTGTCTGCTACAAAACACCTTTTGTTTCTGAATTCTTCTGGGGGCTGTGTTCCTCCCTCCACCCCTCCTGCCCAAGGAGCTGACTTCTGAGTGTAGCATATTGTTTTGTCTGAGGTTGTTTTTCCTTTTGTGGTGCCCATTTAGAAGAGAAACTCTCCTGAGTGCCACTTTGAGATGGGCAGCAGTACAAAGCCAAGCTTGCCCAAAGCTCTGTTTTCAGATGTAAAGGAGCCTGCCGGACTTGTATCCTCAAATTCTCTGCCTGTGGCTTTCAGAAACCTATTTTAAAGTCTCTTCTTTGATCAATCCTCTTCTTTTCCTGAAGTCTGTTTTGATGCACCAGATGGGATCCTACTGGGCTTCAGTTCTTTATAGTGAACAGGTTTTGCTGGGTTGTCAGCAGGTTTTGTTTGCCCTACCTGAGCTTCTGCAGGCAGCTCAAAGGAAAGTGCCCTCAGCTCTGATCTTCTTCCAGCATCATTTCTTGAAAGGCCAGTGGCTGTCACAGGATGTCCTCTAGGATCCACCCAGTACTCCAGGCAACCGCTGTACAGCACTGTTGCCCCATGGGCTCATTCACAAGGAAGTTTTTTTGACTGTGAATAACAAAATGACTGTGATAGCTTGGACGATCTTATCTTTAGATGATCTTTGGCTTATTTCTGTTCTTGGGTTTTTAGCCAACTGTTTTGTGTGCTGAGAGATCACTGCTCCCCAGCTCTTCTCCAACCACTGGAACTATGTTCATCCTTTTCCCCTACTTGCCAGATCCCTTCATAGTTGCTGCCTTGATCCTAAACCCTTCTGGCTCACCCGTGTCACTCATTCAATGCCACCTTATCAGCTTCCTAGCTGCTTGAGCACAGGTACGGTGTTTTCCTCCTTCCCACCCTTCCTGAGCTGCAGGACCTCTGAGCAGGCTGTGGAGCAAGAGTTTTTGTCAGTGGCAATTTGGGCCCTTACCAACTGCCTGAGGCTGTTTGCCATTGAAAAACAACCAAACTCTGTGTCCAGTGGTGTTCTCCTTCCCCTGCACAGCCTGGTGGTCCAAGCTGGGACATGCTGCCATGGTTCCTAGTGCAGAACCACTCGTGGGAATCTCCTCTCACCTCCGGGCATCCGTTCTCTCCTCTGCAAGGCTCTCGTGCCAAGGTCTGTTTCTGCAGGACTCACCGTGCCTGCTGTATGCCTCTGCCCTTCACTCTTGGGGCAGGAGAGCTAAACCATGCAGCTAGACCTGCGTTCCTCCGCTTCCCACTGCGGGCATCGCTCTCCCCACCGGTGATTCTTCACCCTCCATCCCTGTGCAGAGGGGCTGGGTTGTGGATGCAGCCTGGTGGGAAGCCCAGCAGATGCAAGCTATAATCTTTTCCCCATCGCTGTATATGAGAGTCGCTGGTTTGTCCTGGGTGATTGTCTTCACTGCAGGACAAAGTGGACTAAAGCACAATTGCTTCTGAAACAGCCTTCTCTGGCCAAGTTCACTTACCCTCCCAAGCGTAATCAATATTGGCTGTTCTGCTTCATGCTTGGAAGCACAAGTGGATCTTGTGAATGCAAATTCTTGTGCATACGCATCCGAATATCTGTGATACAGTAAGGTGCTGTTTTATCGCTGTGTGGTAAGGTCATCTTTATCTGCATTAGGCATTCTACACGTCTTGAGCTGCATTCTCTTTGATTTTGTGTTGCTGTGCGGATCTTTCTCGATAGCCTTCTCTTGCAGCTTGTTGAATTATCCTGCCAAGGCTTACCTGGGATCTGCTCGTGATTCCTGGTGCATTTCCAACCTACCTCTTTTCAGCTTTTTCCTGGAAAACTGGAGGTCAGAGAAATCCAAAGTTGAGATACTTGGATTAATCTTCCTTCTCTTTTTTTCCCTTGGAATAGGGAACAGATTATAAAACAGAAGATAAGTCCAGCAAAGTGAAAATGTCAGTGATTGATTATAAGTGAGCTCTTCTGATAGCATCATTGCAAAATTGGAAGACTTAAAAAAGGCAAAAGGGGCTCTTCGTTTTGTTTCTAAGTCTATTTGCAGTTTGGCTTGGGGAAACTTTGGTCAGCTCCATATCCTCTGCACACGAAGAGAATGTAAAGAGCTGTATCTCAAGTTTCCTATTTGGGCTAAACATAGCCATCCTATATTAGCTGTGTAGGAATATCCCAGCATATGACAATGTCCCTTGAGAAACAGAAATAGCTGATCTCTGGCTTTCATGCTCATGAGCTTGGTGGTGATGGAGATGCAAAGGGTGACTAATGCTGGAAAACACAGTTGTCTCTGTGCATGGACAGAGTTGGGAATTTTATTTTAAATACCCTTTTTTCAGGACATCAGGCACCGGTAGGTATGCAACTGTGATGTTGCCTCTGAAAATGAGACTACATGTGGTTAGCAGGAACCCCCAGAAAGCAGCACCTTGTTAAGCACAAGTTGGATACCCCCATGCTGAAGTAGACTCTTGCCAGTTATCATGAAAACACTAACCCCTAGCTGTAACCAAAAAAGCACGGTAAAATACATAACAGAACTTGATTACTGCAACAAAATTAGTCTTCTGTGTGCCATGACTTAGTAGGTTGACCTAGGAGGAAATCAGATGATGATGTCTAGTGTTTTAGGCAGGGGAACTGCTATGATGAATATCTTACTCTGTCCCTTGGGTGAAAGGATGAGTTTCTACCTTGTTCTCAGCAAACAGGTGTGAGAAGTTGTGCTCCACAGCACTTTCAGTGGACAAGCTAAAGACATATGTACCCTCTTTGAGTTGAGTTTCTAAGAATCCCTAGAGGAGATGTGGAGCAACCCAGATTCCTTCATGTTGTCTCATCTACAGCTGCTTTTATTTCTAGGATTTCTCTTGGTCTTAAACACAATAAAATAAATTCGGATTCCATCCCCCTCTGCTAAACTGGACTTTTTCTACAGGCAATTTGTCCTCTTCACTGTGTGCCTCTCCACTCTTCCCCCTGTTACTGCATACAGTGCTGCTTGTTGGCTCTTTCTAAAACAAATGTGTGTTTGTTTTCCTGGCTCATGACCTGTGGATGTGGTATGTTATGCATTTAAGCTTACATACATATGGAGAGTAACCTTTACACCCACAGCATGAGGCTGCTGGCTTGGAGGGATTTTATTTCATTTTATTTTTTCCTTACACTTGGCTCTGTTTGGCAGTAAACTTAGATATAGGTGCTTTCTTGCTTGGTGCCCTGGGAACCTCCAGAGATGTGGGCCTGGTGGAGCAGCCTGGCTTCAGTTGGCTGACCATCCTGATGCTGTTCTGTTAAAGCTCTTGCTGTGCTCCTCAGCCACTTTGGGTCTAAACCGGCCCACCTCAAACATGGTGGTGATCTTTGTCATGGGTTTGGCAGCCAGCTCCTTCAGTTTCCGGGCATCGAAGCGTGGCTTATATAAAAAGATAGGTAAGCGACGGGGAGGAAAGAAGCTTTCTTCCTTCCGCAGCTTCTTCTCTTCTGCTTGCTGCTTCCTCTCTTTGTTGACTGTCATCTGATATAAAATTGCATCCCACATTCTCGTGGCCCTTGATTTAAACAGCCTGTGGTCTTGACTGATGACTGCTCGAGAGCTGTCTTCCTTGCTCCCTTCCTTCTGTCCCAGCTTTTCTGGCTCAGGCTCTGGGAAGTTGGATTCTTCTGGCTGCACCATCAAATGCTTCTTGAGACGATGCCAGCCACCAGCACTGGCTCCTGGAGGTCTTGCTGCCTCTACTGATGGTAGTGCTGGCTCAGCTTTGAGGGGAGGGCTGGTGTTTGGTAAGCTGGGGGTCAAATGAGGTTGAATGACATGTTCTGCCTTGGTGTCTGTGGAGGTGGCCCCTGTACTGTCAGCTTGTGCTGGGGTTGCTGTCTCTGGGTGTGCTTGCCTCCAAGGAGTGCTGGGTGTTGATGGTTTTAGGATGTCACGATCTTGCTTGGGTAATTCAGGCGCTCTCTCTGATCCAGATGTTTCCATGTCACTTCTCTGGGTCGTAGTCTTATTGGCATGGATATCGGAGGTGTTGGCCTTGGGTGAAGGGGCCTCGATGGACTCTTCACTAGGAGCAGGCTTGGGCTCCTTAGGAGGTTCTGCCTCAGCAGCAGAAAGGAGGGGAGAC